CCACACTGTTAATTTCACGTACACAGGTGACCTACGGCATCTACGGGTTTTAAGCAACTTTAATTTCTGCACAGTGGCTATAATTAAATCTACATGACTCTGATACTTGTAAGCACCTCGCGGCAGACGCAATTTAGCTGAGATCAGTAAACATGGGCCAGATATTATGTTTTCCAGCGACCATGCGGTAACGCTTAACCCATAGCTTTTTTTAAAAAAATTTGAAACTTTGAGCTGACGCCAGAATCGTGTATGAAAGACGGCTTAAAATACATTTGCCCACCTCCCCGAATACTCCGGGGGAGTCTTAATCTCAGTTGACCCTCAGATAAACCAACAAACAACATAGCATTTTATTCCAGATCAAACAACAGCACCTCAGCCGTCTTATCCCCAACGTTCTCCAACACGAACGTCGCGCCTCCATTCCCAAGCGTAATATAAGCCCCGTCACCCTCCTTCAACTCAAGTTCCTCCGAGGTTTTCGTGCCCCCAATTCTCACCGTGGCACCCGTTGCCTTGCCCATATTGAACCCGCTGGTCTGTACAACATGCACATATCCCTTTCGGCCTTTCAGCGGCTGCTCCAAGCGCTTGCCGCTTTCTGCGAGCGTTGCGTAGAGCGTCAAGGCACTCTGCACCGGCGCCGGGCCCTTGCCTTCTCGCGAGTCAAAAACACCAGGGCTGCCGACGGGCGCGACAACAGGTACCCATGTGTTGAGTTTCTGGGCGTCGGTGAATTCCCGCGTGAAGTACTTGGGTGTCAGACGCGGGGTGTGCGGCAGCGACCAGATTTGCAGGAAGTGGACCTGCGCGGAGCCGTGCGCCTTTTCGGAGTGGGAAATTCCAGTGCCTGCGGAGGTAAGCTGGAGTGCTCCGCGTTTGAGCACTTCAGTATTGCCCATGGAGTCTTTACTGGATGCAGGCGGGCGTTAGGTGATCCAGATCTGTGCAAGTGATGGAGGAGAACGTACTGCTCGAGCTCGCCTGACACAACGTACGAGAAGATCTCGAATTCGCGGTGTGAGTGGGTCCCAAAGCCGGTGCGCGGTGCAACCCGATCTTCGTTTATTACACGGAGTGGCCCAAACTGTTCGTGTTTGTGATCCTGGTACCTGGAAGACGGTCGATCAGATATTTCAAGGGTTATAATCAATCCAAAAAACGCACATTGCAAACGAGAACGTGTGGAAGGTCTTGAGCCAGCCATGGTCAGCGTTGCCACGCTCCTCGCTGCGGCGTGGAACAAACTTCAAGGATGTCATGTTTTCAGTAGATGATGAAGTAGATGAAGTCGGAGAAGATGGGACGGTGGAAGCCAAGGAAGACAGGTATTGTCTGAGAAGGTTAGCCTTTGCGACTCGCTGTAGTGAAGACAGATTTTCTTGCAGAGAAGTGGGGAGCAGGTTCAGGTAGAGCGCTAAGCTTATATACAACGGTAGGAGTGCGATGTGAAGGAGGAGGAAGGATTTGGGCTGCATGACAGAGCCCAGTAGATCATGGCGTTAATGTATGGTCAGCGTATTTCTGTTTTTGGGGATGCGCGACCCACGCGTGTCTGACAAAGACAGGTCAGGTGACACCATACACATTTTTTATCAAATCTGGGCGATACAACTACCTGTTAATCAGCATGGCTACTCGACTTCCACCCCCGAAGCGGTTGAAAACATACCACGGTGTCCCAGAGCCAGAGCCAGAACAGCCCGTACCTTCCCCGAACATTGTCGTCCAATTCGTCAGCGAAGAAGATGGCCGATCTCTCGCACCCGCGATTAATTTGCCTGCGAATACGACGAGGGAGGGTCTGGAAGTGCTGTTGAACAAGTTATCTGAAGAAGTACGCAGTGAATCTTTTTAGTCGTTCAAGATTGACGAAATGTATAGAACGAAGATCCTGTTCCGTTCTCATTCCATGTCGCACTTCCCGAAGGCCCAGATACAAAACCAGGTGCCCCGACGCGCATCGTCATCCAAAAATCACTTGAAGCGGACGTTTTAAACCACAAATCTGATATATTCAGCCCGGAAGATGTGTTTGTCGTCTATTGTTCCCCCCAGAGTGTCTTCCGCGTACGACCCGCAACTAGATGTTCTTCAACATTATCAGGTGTGTTGTATCTCACCTCAGATTGGGGTCGCCATTAAACAATTATATTCAGGCCACACCTCCCCAATTCTCTGCGCGTCGTTTTCACCGACTGGTAATCTATTAGCGACGGGCTCCGGGGATACTGCAGCGCGGTTGTGGGACCTCAACACGGAAACGCCATCACACGTTCTTACAGGTCACGTCGGATGGGTTCTTTGCGTCGAGTGGGAGGCTATGGAGCGAAAACTCGCCACAGGCGGACATGATGGACATGTGCGACTGTGGGACCCTAAAACTGGGAAAGCTATTGGCGAAGCGATGAAAGGTCATACGAAGTGGATTACATCTCTCTCTTGGGAACCTATACACATGTGAGCTGCCCCAAACGTCAAATCTTCATCAGCCTATAACTCCAATGTTAGAAATCCTTCGTCACCACGGGTAGCATCGTCTTCAAAAGATGGTACTGTTCGCGTATGGTCGAGCCTCACACGAAAAACGGAGTTCACGCTAGGAGGGCATTCCGCCAGCGTTAATGTCGTCAAATGGGGTGGAGCAGGCGGGCCCAAGGGTGTTCTTTACACCGCAAGTAGCGACCGCACTGTGCGGATATGGGACGCAGAGACGGTACGCGACATGTTTTTTCGTCTACTAGTGTTGACCTTCAGCTGAACCAGGGGCGTCCGATGCACACATTAAAAGACCATGCTCACTGGGTCACGACACTTGCACTCAACACCGACTTTGTCCTTCGTACAGGGCCTTTTGATCATACTGGTAAGAAGCCCACGTCAGACGAGCATGGTACGTCGCGTATACTCCTAGTCCTCGTCTTACGTCTCATGTCGCTGCAGCACAACAGTTAGCGCAAGCGCGGTATGATACCCTCTTGCGGACGACACCTGAGCTACTCATCTCTGGTTCTGATGACCACACGCTATTCCTATGGCGGCCATTCAGTGGCGCTGGTGCGGGCGCCTCGCAGAAGCCTATCGCGCGCCTTACAGGGCACCAGCGCCAGGTGTCGCACGTTGCGTTTTCGCCAGACGGGCGGTGGGCTGCGTCCGCTGGATGGGACGGCAGCGTACGTGTGTGGGAGGGCCGCACGGGAAAGTTTGTTGCCACTCTGCGAGGGCATGTGGGAGCTGTATATCGGCTCGCATGGAGTGCAGATGGCCGGCTGTTAGTTAGTGCGAGTAAGGATAGCACGTTGAAGGTAAGCAGTTTTCAATTCCTTTTGGTTTTATTCTTGGCCTTTTGCTGATGTTGGAGTGCAGATTTGGGACCTGAAGACATACAAGATCAAGACGGATCTTCCTGGACATACAGATGAGGTTTATTGTGTTGATTTTGTGGCAGATAAGCTTGTTAGCGGCGGACGCGACCGTACAGTTAAGATGTGAGTGTTTGCTCTTTTCTGTGGGCATGAACTTCGATACTAACCATTATCATGATAGATGGAAAAATTAGACGAGGATGATGGCCCCATTTATTGTGCCATGTGGTTGTATATCTACCTGCGATTTATCCGAATTGTCCATGGCCCCTCATGACTTCTTGCTCCATGTTTGCAAAACAAGTGCACGAACAAAATTTTATGCTCCTACTCGCATCCTTAAATCTAGGTCGCCCACAGCAACCATTGTGCACAAGATTAGATCTATTTTCTCAGCACCTCAGCTGATAATCGAAATAAGACGTATGTCGCTCGCTCGGCCCTCGGGGTTGAACGTTGAACACTCAATTGAACTTATTTTAGCGTTGTCCACGATAATTGCTTCCTTTCCTCACATCGGCTCAGTCCCTCGGGCCTCTGCTAAGCTTTTTGCTGATCTTGATTCTTCCCTTGTTATTTATTTCTCCATAAAGGCACTTCTTTAGCCCATGAGGATCGCCTATGCAAGTCCAAAAATACACTGTATAGCGGCCTGCATAACGTCAGTATGATGCTCTATGACACTCATGGCGCCCACCCATTGAATGATTGAAGGTCGTTCATGTGACTTGTGTGGTGGCACGCTGGAATCAGGTGCATACCTCTGTCAGTGTAAGATCTTTAGCCATATGACCGCCACTCGGGATGGCGTGGTGCCGTCTCAACCTCAGCTGCCTTCAGCTTCAGCACTAGGCACGAAAATGTACATTAGGACCGGTGTATCCGAGTGCAATGACATTCACAAGATATATCGGATTTTATTCATGTTCCTAATACTTATGAAGCCTTGTTCAAATGGTTCTGCTTCGGGCCGCGAAAAAAAAACTTCGTGAGATTTACTCTATATCTCAAGTTTCCAAGTGGCGCCAATGGCATGTATCATCAGTGGTCCCCGAATCTATCTGAAAAATTGTCCTGGAATTTCAACCGTCCGATGATCAGCCCTCGTTGAGGTCAGGTGGAGCTGTGACGCGTAGGTCCCAGGATTCCCTCCTTTCTCAAGGAATCTGGTGACGGTTGTGATTTCCTTAGATCGATAATAATTGCATGCGCCGATGCCCCCAACAGGCTGTTTATTCTTTCGGAGCTTGATCTCACTTCGACTGGATCCCTCCTTCCCAGCAGCTGGCACTTTTCATCATTGCGATATATGTACACTCTATTTGTGGCTCCGGCTCGATGGTCTTTGCTTCTTTGTCGCTTCGGAGATATCATTGCTCAAGCACGTGTACCCGGTGCCCGGGTGGGACCAGTTGAACGTTCGCGGGAGTGTGCAGGCATCACTAGGTGATTCTGATCCCCAGAGGCGGTACTTCTTAGAACCCAACAAAGCAGGCCGAGCCGGTTCGTATCCCATAGCGTAGCAGCGTGGTGGCGTATAGGGTGTGGCTGGAACTTGAACGGAGTGCACACTTAGCGAGCATGAGGTTTGTGATATGAATCGGGGAGAGAAATAGCGCGAAAGCGTACAACGCCCGCCTAGCTCAATCGGATAGAGCGTCAGACTCTTAACTAGGCAGATGTATCTGAAGGCTGCGAGTTCGACCCTCGCGGTGGGCTACAACGAAATACTGTTAAACTTTTTATAGGAGATCATACACCGTCGATACGACATGGGAAAGGCTAACAATTATTGCGCTTTTCCTATATAATGTCACTCCTAAAAATAAGAATACTAAAGACAGCAGGGTTGCAGCGAGGTTGCTCTCCACAAGGGCGCTCCACAGGGTGACGTACCGTGATGTACCTTGATTCTTTTTCTTTCAAAAGTGCCATTATTTATGAAAAGCGCAATAAGGAAGCTACGGCCCGCCTAGCTCAATCGGCCAGAGCGTCAGACTTTTACGGCCTAGGCATCTGAAGGCTGCGAGTTCGACCCTCGCGGTGGGCTTGTGATTAGACAAGGCTCCTTATATTTTTTGTTCATACTCTATAATTAAGTGTTTGAAAATGCTAGTGGGCCGCTTCAGGTTTTTTTATTATTCCTTTTCAAAAAATTTGGGATTTCAGGTACAAGTTGAACAGTTTGCAGGATTCCTCGTTTAGGAACATCACAGCAGAAATGGACGGATTCAAAGTACTCCAGATATTTTTCTTTGAAAGGCCATCGGGGGAATATATCTGAAGGTTTTAGTATCTGCTCTCAGAGTCATTACAATCAATTATAGTTGGCTTGGGTATAGAAATATCAGTTTTGAGCACTATTGGAGAGCATTCTAGTAATCATAAAAGTTTTCGTATTAACATTGCGATTGGGAGCCTATCGGTAAGTAGACAGTGTGAGCGCCACGGCATCGGGACTAAGTGCATATAATCACCAGAATACGCCACATAATGCCCGCCTAGCTCAATCGGATAGAGCGTCAGACTCTTATGTACCTAGGCACGGTGTGGCATCTGAAGGCTGCGAGTTCGACCCTCGCGGTGGGCTATTGTTTCTCTTATTTGATGTTTTTGGATGAAGGCTGGCCCCCTTGAATTGGTGGGCGATAGATAGACTAGTAGACTTTATTTTATTTTGACGGGTGAAAGTGTGCACTTCTCTGCTCTAGGTAATTAAGTACTTGGTCTACGATAGAGCAAAAAAAAACTTCGTAGAGCATTAGTGGAGTAACATGTGGCTATTACGACAACAAAAAAGTTAGGAAGTTTTCCAATAGGGCCGAGTCCGCAATCTTCGGAGATTGATTAATTTTGTGGTCGGTACAGAAAGTTAATGAGTCAAGTCGAATCGACGTTTATAAGGATGCTGATATGCAGTGACAGTTTAAATATGTATTTCCAAGGGCGGGATTGGGTTCATGTTCCAACTTTCAACGCACGGTAATAACAATCAAGTTCGAGCTGGTTCTCTAGAACGCAGGATAACGATGAAGATAAGCATTTTCACAGAAGACAGAGAGTTCCAAGGTTTATCCGCCTGATCATAGAAGAGATGGATTAGTGCCTGTGGTTTCCATCGCAAGCTACATTTTAGCATTTTGGAATGAGATGATAGCGCCAAAGTTAGAGATAGCTTCCAGGTGTGGTCAACGTAGGATGGCCGCGAGGCAGTGCTTATCTATTTATCATGATATGAAGACCTGGTGGATGAGATTGGACGTAAGACAAAGAGGAAGGAAGTGATCGATCTGTCAGCGATGGACCACAGAAATACGCATCGGGGAAGGTGCGTGGACGCCACAGTGGGCGTGATCGTGCGCAAAGTCGGGAGCTGAGTAAGCAGGTGCATGGAGCTCGCTAGTTTTTTTTCTTGCAGGCAACGTCTCTTTGATCAACAACCCCCATCATCCTTAGATCACCCTTTCCTTTCTTCTTTTCACCACACGAAAAGTCCCATAAAAACAAAACCCTACGACGACTCTGGTTTTTAGTTCTTCTGACACTAATATGACAAATGGTCTTGTAAACGGTTCCACGGGTATCGAGGGTCAATTCGGTCAGTTTTGCCAGCGCTGCTCGATTTTTTCCCGGCTTTGCTCATTGAACTCACAATGTAGCCTCTCTCGGTCTCAACAAATCTGCTTATGTTCCTCCCCACATGAGGAATGCGCAGCGGGCTGCTCCTCCTTCCAACGGCAACGGGTGAGAAAATGGGCTTTCCTGTCTAAACAACAATGTTCACGCTATGTCTTGTAGAAACGGCTGGGCTGATTCCCGCACTGCCACTCCACCACCCGCCCGCACTGGCTACGGGGGTGGCTACGACCGTGGTCGCGGTGCATTCACCAGCAGTTCACCTCGCGTTGCCAGCGGCGGCGGCTGGGGCAGCTCGACTGGCCCTTCCAACTGGGGCGCGTCTGCACAGCGCGAGTCGGCGCCCCGCGACACCTTCGGGTACGGTACTTGGAAAGATGGCAAGCACATCGTCGGCAGTCGCAGCATGCGCACCGAGAAGGAACTCTTTGGCGACGCTGCGGACCCCTCCAAGCAACACACTGGCATCAATTTCGAAAAGTATGACGATATCCCCGTCGAGGCGACTGGGGCTGGCGTCCCCGAGCCCGTCCTGTCGTTCACCAGCCCCCCTCTGGACCCTGTTCTTTTGGAAAACATCGGCTATGCCATGTACACCACTCCCACTCCTGTTCAAAAGTACTCCATCCCTATCGTGGCTGGAGGCAGGGATTTGATGGCCTGCGCTCAGGTATGTCATTGATATTTGCATCATCAAAACAGTTGACTCATCACTCCGCAGACCGGCTCCGGAAAGACAGGAGGCTTCCTTTTCCCCATTCTGTCTGCCTCCTTCACTCAAGGCCCGCGTTCTCCCCCAGAGACGCCCAACTCCAACTACTCTCGTTCCCGCAAAGCCTACCCCACTGCGCTTATTCTTGCCCCCACCCGTGAACTTGTCTCTCAGATCCACGATGAAGCTCGCAAGTTTGCCTACCGCTCCTGGGTCCGCCCTGCGGTCGTCTATGGCGGTGCAGACATTAATCAGCAACTCCGCCAGATCGAGCGTGGTTGCGACCTGCTCACTGCCACCCCGGGTCGTCTCGTTGATCTGATCGAGCGCGGTCGCATCAGCCTTGCCAACATCCAGTACCTTGTACTCGACGAGGCCGACCGCATGTTGGACATGGGTTTCGAGCCCCAGATTCGCCGCATCGTACAGGGCGAGGACATGCCTGGAACTGCCAGCCGCCAGACGCTCATGTTCAGCGCCACCTTCCCCCGCGACATCCAGATGCTCGCCAAGGATTTCCTCAAGGACTATATCTTCCTCTCAGTTGGTCGCGTCGGCTCCACCAGCGAGAACATCACGCAGAAGATCGAGTACGTCGAGGACGGGGACAAGCGCAGTGTGCTGCTTGACATCCTCGCCAGCCAGGGCCCGGACAACCTCGGCCTAACGCTCGTGTTCGTCGAGACGAAGCGCATGGCTGACATGCTCAGCGACTTCCTCATGGGCAACAACCTCCCCGCTACCAGCATCCACGGCGACCGCACGCAGCGCGAGCGTGAGATGGCGCTGCAGACCTTCCGCACGGGGCGCACCCCCATCCTCGTCGCCACCGCCGTCGCCGCCCGCGGTCTCGACATCCCCAACGTCACGCACGTCGTGAACTACGACCTGCCGTCCGACATCGACGACTACGTGCACCGTATCGGCCGTACCGGGCGTGCGGGCAACACGGGTGTCAGCACTGCGTTCTTCAACCGCGGGAACCGCAATATCGTGCGCGAGCTTGTGGAGCTGCTGCGCGAGGCGAACCAGGAGATCCCGCAGTGGCTTGAGACGGTCGCACACGAGGCGTCGTTTGGCGGCGGCGGAGGATACCGTGGTCGCGGCGGAGGCCGTGGCGGGCGCGGTGGAAGCCGTGGTAGCATGGGCGGCAGGGACTACAGGTCTGGTGGCGGCGGCGGTGGCGGTGGAGGAGGATACGGCAGCAGTGGAGGAGGCATGAAGAGTGGTGGTATGGGCGGCTGGAATGGAGGAGGTGCTGGCGGAGGTGGATATGGGAATGGAGGCTATGGTGGCGGAGGAGGCGGAGGCCCCCAGAGCTGGTGGTGAACCGTCTCCTGATCCGTCCTTCTCGTCCCGTCATGCTATGTTGTCCCCTGCCCTGCCCTTGCCCAGAAACCATAAATCCTGAAAAACACGGACCCCGATTTGACCCGCTTGCTCGTGCTGGCCTTTTTACACCCATTGTCACCACCCTGTCCTTCTTTAGCAGACTCCCGTTTCCCTTCCGGCTCCCATTCACTGATCTCATTTATACTCGAACCCGACCTACCTAGATGACACGAACGATTTACTGTCTCATGCGCCGCTCTTAATGACCCCCCCTGTTTTGTCTCGTCTCGTCATGACATCCCCTCATACATCTTATACTCCACCATCCTTGCATCGCTTTCATAATCAGGGCGTGCTCTGGCCCCCCTACCGCCTCCCACCACTTAATTCCACTGTCCGATCCGTCACGCCCCGATGAACGTTACTAGCATACGTATACCAGTATTAGACAGGCGCCCACGCACACGCACGCACACACACACACACACATCCACCCGTCGGCGCAGGCCAACCACCCCGCCCTACACCCATCAGTCCTTCGGACCCCGCCACGACACCTACCACTGCCAAAAACTGCACGCCGTGCCGTGCCGCGATACACCCCACCACACCGATACCCCCGCCCCCAGACGCCCGCCATATGTATTGCGCTGGACTGATACCCCCCCTGCCCCCTGCCTCCGACACCGACACACCGTGTGCTTGCTACTTCCATCACTCCTAGAGCGTGAACGCCCCACGCACGACACGAGACAATCTGCCCATCCCCTGCCCGTCCTTTATGTTTTGAGAGCATCGCATTTCGCATCCTGCATCCTGCATTCCCCGCAAGCATACAATCCTGCACCCGCACATTACATCGCATATCTTGTCTGTCTGTATCTTAGGTCCCTCGAGTATTTTTTCTTCTTTCTTTCTGTTTGGCCTGTTACCTTTTTTTTTTTTTACTACTTTTATGTGCCTGTTTACTTTCCGACCCCATATCTTCCCGTGTCACTTTTCACATTCACGTTCACCTTGACCCCCTTCTTTTCACATTTGTGTGTTCTGTGTTCCTCATATGCTTCCTACCTTCATGCAGACTGCAGACTGCAGACCCTCGTTATACATACGCCCCTTGCAGCTACTGGTCCTTGTCCGATAGTACTAGTCGTATACGTATGCACACTATGCAATATTTTTTACTGTTCTGATGCAGCACCCACGTCTGTTGTGCCGCAATGCGAGTTCTTGGCACAGTGATGGTGAGTGTAAGCAAGGGCCAGATGCCCATGGCTAATTATAAGCCCAGGTGAAGCAGACTGCACTTGCAGCTGCCGCAGATCGATGTGGATTAAATTTAATATCCGCTCCCTGTTCCGTGAATGAGTGGGACTTGGCGAGCCTTTGTGGCTGAATTGAGCGCGAGGGGTGATATTTATCTACATTTAAATTTCACCCCTTGTGAGAATCGAGATGGTATCGATGTATCATTGGGTCTCGTGTCCTGTCCAGGAGGTTGGTGTATACACATGCTACTTACAATACAGTCCGAGGGGACAGATGGTGGAGGACGCGGCGAGCGGCGAAGTGAGGGGAGTGTGGCCACAAGTTGCAATTGAGTTGATCAGGGATCGAAACCAGGGCCGCACGGATTTTCCGCCTGCCTGTGCCGCTTGGTAATTTGTTCCAGGGACACACAGTCATCTCGCCTTTGTTTCTCCCTTCCTCTTCCCGAACCTCGCCACTCTGCTACAGACACTCGCTGTACAGGAAACGAACACGCTGAAGATCAGTCATACAAGAAAAGAGAGCCCGCCTGCAGAGAGGGCTCGCACCCGTTTGGTGCCATCGATAAGCACAGAGTATCGCAGTAGTCAAGACAACGTCGCTGGACGCTGGCCAAGGCAAGTCGGGTCTGCTGTTGGTCC